TGAAGACCAGACTGCAGACCCTGCAGAACAACATGCACCCAGGGTGAGACGCCACCCTCGCTGACCGTGTCTAGACATAAGCCTGCAGTTAGGCTGCTGTCCTTTTGCCCTGATCTTTGTCTGGTATTAGATGTCAGGGCTTAGTTTCAGGACTTGATTGACAGATAATAAACATGTCTTGCATAGTTAATATGCATAATAATTTCTGTTGTCCTTCTGACTAAGAGCTAAATTAGCATGTCATAGATTAAAACAACTTCAATCCTTTCAAGGTAAACAATGTTATATCCCAATTTTGCCCAGTACTGATAGCTAATAGTTTTGTGGTGTTTGCTAAAGCATGCTTAAAGTTAGTGATTTCAACAAATGTAGTTGGGATTTTAGTCAGTGGATGATAAAACCGATACAAATTCCATAAACTAACATTAAAACAACACCCAAGACATAATCTACAGATCCAAAATTTCAGAGATTTTGGAATAAACTTGACCTGAGCTAGTAAGCAACCACATAGCAATTTATATTGGCAACAATTGCTTGTTTGTTCGGTGTTTTTGGTTGTTGTGACAACTGTGATGTTTTGGCGAGATACGAGTGTCGTGTTAATGTAAAGGCGTCCTCTCTGTATGCTGTGTGGGAGTGCTATGTTATTAAACTGTCTGCTTCTCTCAGCTTAGCAGAGGATAACATGTTACCCATGTCAAATTATGTGTCCTCATAAGCTCAGCATGCCATCTAAACGCAAAGATTTTTGGCTCGTTCTGTCTGTTTTCGCCCTTCTTTGTCTCTCTGTCTGTGTCCATCATGATCATTTCTATTTTTGTCTTTGTCTCTCAGTGCTCCTAAAGTGGGGATGATTACAGTCTTTTTCAATGTGATCCGCACAGAGAAGCTGCTTGGCCTGTGGAAGGGGGTTTCACCGGTGAGTCAAGTGTATTGGCTGATGTGTCCATTTCCTTTGGTCTTCGCTCACTATTTGATCTCACAACAGCATCAGTGTTCTGATCTCAGGCATATGTCCAATTCTTCATTGAATATTAACTGTAGATTATATATTTAATGTGGCACGAACAAAAATCCTGGTGTCCTGTGAGGAATATTATTATGTTATATAGATTAAAAATACTCTTTCTTGACACCTGTTTTGTTTTTATTAGTGATGCACCAAAATTACATTTGTGGTCCCAAACCGAAAATTCAGGATGCACGTCGCTGAAAACAGAAACCGGAAATATATGTTACTTAATAATAATGTAATTGGTCAAATTAATTTAATAATCAACACTCAAATAGAAACTGAGTTTTGCAAATGTGTAAATTACACACAAGGCAGTTTTTATGTCACCTTATGTCACAAAAAAATACTGTTGAAATATAAACATTTAAATGAAAAGAAAAAAGAAAAAATATTTAAATGGAGAAAAAAACTTTCATGGAAGGTTTATTCAAACATACATTAAATAATAAAGACAACAGGTTAAGTAAAACTATAATAAATATGTAATATAGTGCATTAATTTAGCAAAATGCTCCTCTCTAGAATGATTTTTTTGTTGACTATCAAGTTTATGGACATTGAATGGCATTCCTGAAGTAAATGTAGCTTTAAATGACATTGTTTACAAGCTGTTTTATTGAAGTCTTTCTGCAGCTGAAACACTGATTAAATGATTACATGATACATTTCAGTAGGTTGTTTATTTCAAAATACCTTCTGATGTTCATTTATATTTATTTTGTGCTGCAACTAGTAGTAAAGTGTAAGAGATGATTATGCTACAGTGATCTGTTACGCCACATTAAAGAGCCTTAAAACCACATGCATTGTTTGTATTTCATGATAAAATTGACAGAATTTGAAAGCTGAGAGTGATTTATATTAAAAGTAATAAAGCACAAAGATTTTTGTGATTATTGGCTGGTAGGTGCCCTACAAATAATGTTTTGGAAAGTTCACGCATCAACAGAAAAAAAAAAAATCGATATTGTTAATCCAGCTCTAGCATTCAATCATACAGCTGACACGTTTACCTGTTGTTGTTTATTCACATTGTGTGCACGAAATAGACACTGACACAGTCAAACATCAGAGAAACTAATTAAATGTCACTGTTTTGGTCAATGATTTTGGCCCAAAACCAAAAGTTTTTGTTTGCCAAAATTTCAGTGCATCACTATTTATTTTTGTATATCAAATACTGTAGTTGTATCTGTCTCACTTGTCCCTCTTTCTGTCCTACAGTCATTCATGCGCTGTATCCCTGGTGTAGGAATCTACTTCAGCACATTTTACTCGCTGAAGCAGCACTTCTTCCAGGATAGGTCTCCGAGTGCTGGGGAGGCGGTGTTGCTAGGGGCGGGGGCTCGTTGTGTGGCAGGAGTGGCCATGCTGCCCATCACAGTCATTAAGACTCGTTTTGAGGTGAGGATCATTATTGAGCTCTGACACTGTACTGTATGCACATTGAAAATGCATGTTTTCTGCTGTATCTGTGTGCTTATTCACTGTTGCATGTTTTATTTCAGAGCGGGCGGTACAATTACATAAGCGTAGCTGGAGCCCTTAAAAGTGTGTGTCAGAATGAAGGTCCGAGGGCTCTTTACTCCGGGCTCACAGCGACTCTGCTCAGAGACGCCCCATTCTCTGGCATCTATGTCATGTTCTACAGCCAGGCCAAAAAGGCTTTGCCACAGGGTGAGCTTCTGATCAGTCACGATTGTGATGTAATCTGAGGATGTGGCATTGTTTAATGAAGTCTTCTCTCTCTCACGCACTCAGAGATCAGCTCGTCCTCCTTTGTCCCACTGGTTAATTTTGGCTGTGGTGTAGTGGCTGGTATTTTGGCCTCTCTAGCAACTCAGCCAGCAGACGTGATCAAAACCCACATGCAAGTGAGCCCAGTGTTGTATCCCAAGACCAGCGACGCTGTACGCCATGTTTATGCAGTAAGCATCACAGGATAAATCATATTTGTTGACCTTTAGTGGCCTTTAGAAGTCTTTTTAAACACAAAATGTTATTTTAAAAACAGCATGAAACAAAAGTCACTCAATTCCCTGAAATACAATATTGCCATTACCATGTTTGTGACCCTGGACCACAAAACCAGTCATAAGTAGCACGGGTA